TTTGTTTTTTGTTAAGTTGCCTAATAATTATGCACAGTAATAGTCACCTGCACACACAGATATCCCCCTAACATAGCTATAACTAAAAACAAACTAAAAACTACTTCCAAAAATATTCAGCTTTGATATTAATGAGTTTTTTGGGTTCATTGAGAACATGGTTGTTGTTCAATAATAAAATTAATCCTCAAAAATACAACTTGCCTAATAATTCTGCACTCCCTGTATCTTGCATGAAATAGAAACATTAACAATTAGATAATTAACAGGGTATAGATCACTAATACATAGGATAATTAAAGGACCACTCCAAACATGTAAAGCCCTTTAGCTTGCTGAAGTACTTTACATGTAAAGATTTTGTAAATTAACATTGTTACACCCACCTGGCTGTCAATCAGACAACTGTTCCAGTCAGTGGAACTAAACTCAAGAGACAGCAATTGTCCATAGCTCCTGCCTTGCAGAGACTTCTCATTGAGCTGCATTGAGAAGTCTCTGATTGGACAGTCACAGAAAGTCTGGGAAAGGTTAGAAGGGGAGGGCTTGCAAAGACTGCAGACAAAAAATGTTTGTTTTGTGGAGGAGTTAAACTTTAGGGAAAAGGAGGTGTTTAGGGTACAGGTATGTGGAGTTTTAGAGGTTATTTACAACATACTCACCCCCTTATGATGCATATTAGAACTGTAATAGTTGTTATATAGTACATAACTCAGTGCTCATTTCTAATGCATATTAGAACTGTAATAGTTGTTATATAGTACATAACTCATTTCCTGTGTGAGAAGCTGTTAGTGTTCAGCGTCACGCACACATACCTACCAAATGTTCCTACTTAGGACAAATATTCCCTATCTAGAGCTCAAACCCTCTTTTCTGTCCTAATGTCCCTCTTTTCTAGGAGCTCCATATTGTTGGTGTCTGAGTGCAGGGCCAGATTAAGAGCCTAGTGGGCCTGGTGCTGACAAGTATGATGGGTCTCATTACAGAATCTTATCGACCAAAAACACTAAAACAGTCATACCTGCCAAGCGTCATGTATCTGATGGAGATGGTGTTGGAAGGAAACTCAAAGGATGCAGCCATATGAAAACACATACTCTATGCTAATGTCTCTCTAATTTATGCTTTCATCTTTCAAGTAAATCCATACCCCTAACAGCAGTGTCCAGTGAAGCAGGAGGTCAATGGGCGTGGTAAAAGGGTGGGCCACTGACACGAATCATGTCACCAGACCTGCCAAAAGGGGCGGACATGCCCAAAAAGGGGGCATGTCTGTCCAAAGAATTGGAAGGCCAGCCTGGCATGAATGCATGTCAGGCTGCCTGTCAATCATACAGGCTGTCCAACTAAGGGCATACTATGCAGGCAGCACCCTGAACTTGACATAAATGCATCAAATGATGCTCCTACTCCACACTTTCTAAGGACTATCCCTTAGCACTCACATGTCCACTTGTCTCCTTACCTTCTTACTAGCAGGCAGAAGTGCCTGGGATAAAGTCTGGGGCATAGTAAAGGTGTATGTAGTGAGTGTAGTGTATGTAGTGAGTGTAGAAGAAAGGGGACATGCCACAGTGTTAGAGTAACCAAAGTCTACATTACCTAAACTATTTTTATTGTCAGCCAGTCCACACAGGTTTTGTTGCCATACATCCCTCTTAAGCTTCCAAACTTAAAGGGACACTATAGTCCCCAGAACAACTACAGCTTATTGTATTTGTTCTGGTAAGTAGAATCATTCCCTTAAGGCTTTTTGCAGTAAACACTGTCTTTTCAGAGAAAATAACTCCACTGGCCACTCTTTAGATGGCTGCTAGAGGTGCTTCCTGGGGAAGTACTGCCTAGTGTGCAGCACTGCCATTCAGTGTCTCCACCCTCTGCATGCAGACACTGAACTCTCCTCATAGAGATGCATTGATTCAATTTATCTTTATGAGGAGATGCTGATTGGCCAGGGTGATGTTTGACTTGTGCTGGCTCTGCCCCTGATCTGCATTGGCAGTCTTAGCCAATCCTATTGGGAAGGATTGTAATTTGCTCAGACCACCACTTCTGATTATGTCAGCAGACAGAGGCAGTTCAGAGGCAGAGCCAGCAGCTGCAGACTTGAATGCAAGTAAGATTTTACTATAGTTAGGGAAGCAAGAGAGGGCCAGAGGGGCTAGAAGGTGGTTTCTTACATAATAGGGTCAGAAATACATGATTGTATTCCTGACCCTATAGTGTTCCTTTAAGCAAGAGTATGTGAAGAGTAGTTAGGGTTGCCAACCTTTTTGGAAACAAATACCAGTCTTTGTATAATTAATTAGTTATAAGTGACATCACATGATGTAAATCACAAGGAGTGACATAAGAGAAAATTCTGTAAAATCACCACAAACTACTCACAGTTTGATTCTGCTGTATAGATGAATTGCTCCCAGTGTCTCCCTGTCTCCCAGTGTCTCAGTCTCGCAAGTCTCCCCATTTCTGCCAGTGTCCCCATGTCACCCAGTCCCCTAGTCTCCCAGTGTCCCCATTTCTCCCAGTGTCCCGATGTCTCAGTGTGTCCCCATGTCACTAGGATACTAAGGGACACAGTGAGACATGGGGACACAGAGACCCGGGAACACTGGGAGACCTGGGGGGACACTTGGGGACACTGGGAGACATGGGGGCACTTGTGAATATAGACATGGGGAGACTGGGAGACATGGAGACACTGAGACATTTGGGGACACTGGGAGAAATGGGGACACAGAGACATGGGAACACAGACACTGGGAGACATGGGGACACTGAAACATTTGGGGACACTAAGACACTAGGGATACTAGGGACACTAAGAGACATGGGAACACAGACACTGGAAGACAGACTAGGGGACACTGGGAGACATGGAGACACTGAGACACTAGGGACACTGGCTGGAAGATCACTTGGGGATACTGGGAGACATTGGGACACTTGTGGACATAGACTTGGGGACACTGGGAGACATGGGGACACAGGCATTTGGGGACATTGGGAGACATGGGGACATAGGGAGACATGGGGATACTGAGGACACTGTCTGGGAGACATGGGGACACTGGGAGACATTGGGACTCTGAGTCACTAGGACACTGAGAGACATGTGGACACAGACACTGGGAGACTAGGGGAAACTGGGAGCCATGTGGACACTGAGCCACTGGGGACACTGGCTGGGAGACATAGAACAGTGTCTCCGTGTCCCAATGTCTCACTGTCTCCCAATGTCCCTATGTCTCACAGCATCCCCATGTGTATCAGTGTCCCTATGTTTTCCAGTGTCCCCAAGTATCTCAGTGTTTCCAGGTCTCCGAGTGTCCCCTAGTGTCTGTGTCCCCATGTGTCCCCTAGTGTCTCAGTGTCCCTATGTCTCCCTGCTGCCTTTCTCCCCATCCCTCACTTACCTGAGCTGTAGAGCTGCTGTCCGGACTCTCTGTGCTGTGTAGCTGCTCCCCCACGGATCAGTGAGTAGTAGAGAGAGGCAGGGATATACTGTAACTTCTTATCCCTACCTCTCTCCACACACAGTGACCCCTACTGGCCGGTGCTGGTATTGCAGAGTAATCTCTGTTTATACTGAGAAAAATACCTGCATTTGTATTGCTGGTATTACTGCAATACCGGCACGGCCATGCAGCCTCAAATACTGGCTGTGCCAGTAAAATACCAGTCAGGTGGCAAACCTAAGAGTAGGGTGTAAAAAAAAAAAAAAAAAAATATATATATATATATATATATATATTTTTAAATGGGCCTATTCCATGGGCCTGGGCCTGGGCCTGGAGCTACAGCTCCATCAGCCCCTATGTTAATCCGGCCCTGTCTGAGTGTATAACAGAGCTTCACAGCAATAATACTCATAGTAATGTGTCTTTAAACTACAATAAATGTGTTTAGAAATCAGTCTGTGTAAATAAGATACATTGTTCTTATTCTAAATTACATTTTAGTTCAATAAATTATTAGTAAATCACCTAAAAGTTCTCAGAACACACCTACACTCACACCCATAAAATGAAAGTGTCCATCCCGGTCCATTTTAAATGTAGACGGGTAAACACCCTGCCACTGGGGGAGTTGGGACAGCCCCGAGTTTTTCACTCTCCTTAGCCATTCCTGCAGCGCTGCTATCAAACATTGAGGCTGACTAGACTACAGGGACACTAGCCAAGATTCGTACTCCTACCTCCCTTCATCAGCCCATCTTATCTCCAAAAAGCACCCTACAATTGCTGTAAACAGGCACCCAAACAGGACAAGCACTTACTCTGCTTAAAGAGAAATCCATCCCTGTCTGGTAGCTCTAGTAGTTATCAAAAAAAATGCATACAGAGAAGAAATTACACCATATTTTATTTTCTCCTCTCCATCTGCAGTGTTTGCCCTGGCTGTACTTGTCTAAACAGGATTACGATGTCCTTTGCTAAATCTTTCATTTAAAAGATTATGAAGCATCTCATGAAAAAAGGTTAACACAAGTTATAGGTAATTTTCAATGTTTTATTCACAGAAGTGTCAGTTCACATTTAACAGTGTCATAATGTCCCTATCTCTATTATACTCCTGTCTGTCATACTGCCGAGCGTCAAAGCTCCATTAAGCAATCAAAGAAGTAATTGCTATAAATATAGATCTGTATCCACCAATAGACTGTATACAAAAAAAAAACAGCAACATTTTCAGGCACTCAATTAAAAAAGTGGTGCACAAACTCACACAGTGCACGTCTGCCACACCTCAATAAACATATCGTAAAATAAAAGTTATAGTGTTATAGAGTGGGTGAGGCTAACCAAGGACACCGGAGGAATATTCAACAATTTTTATTTATGAATTTTGTAAATACATGAAAGAAAAGCAGTGCAGATAAAAAGAAACATGTACACATCTTTATAAGAGAGTGACTGCTATTGAAGTTAATAAACGTCGAGAATATTCTAAATAACAAACAGTTGAAAAATAACATAAAAAATAAACGTAAAAGTGTGGATAGGAACGTTGTTCTGGAGAGAAAGAAAAATAATAAAAAAGGAGGCTGGGGCAAATGGGAACTTTGTATGTCGGAGAAACATTGAACTTTACCACAAGTTAACTGATACGGGTATTCTGTGTTAGCTCCTAATGGCACTCAATGTTTTACTGTAACATGTTAAATGTTTGTAACTCAGTGTTTAATAAATTGTTGGGATTTTACTGTAACCTGTTAAATGTTTGTAACTAAGTGTTTAATAAATTGTTGGGATTTTACACTTTTTTTAATGTCTTTGTTTTGCGTATAAAGCAACCTTGGGATCTGGGAACAAACGGTACGCTGACTGGCCTGGTGATTTATACCGAAGCAAGGTTATTTGCTTTGATAAATGTACTTTTATATTTTTAGAACTTTAGAAATGGAATCCAATACTGAGGAATCCAATGTATTTTTTCTTTGCCATGCGTATTCACACCGTGAGAGAAGAAAATGATTGCCAAATTTCAGGGAAGGTGGGGTGGGGGGATTTGCTAAGTTTTTCCACCAAATGGACCACAGGTTAGTAATTAGTTACCAAAATAGGACTTGTATGCAGTACACTCACTGTATTTTTATTATATATTCACTATTACACCAGCTGCAATATCTGACCTGGATATGTCATTTTTATCCTAGCATCTGGTTGCAGAAGCACACCGCGTATAATGCAAATTATCCAATGCAAGAACACTTTCTGGAGTAAATACTTATAGTACTTAATATGCTCCCATTTCTAAACATCATGCAATGCTGAAGACTACAACTCCCATGATCCACTGACAATTTTACACATTCCTTTTTAATGCTTGGCAATATTCAGAACTGTTTTCGCACAATCTTATACCCAGTACGTCGTTCTAGAGTTCAGCGCTTGTTACAATATTTTTTACAGTCTTTTATATTTCAATCTGGGAGGTATGTAACAGATATTCTCTGACCACAAATGTTTTCTTCATTGATTTTGGGAACCATTTCAAAGCATTTAGATCTTTAATCTTTGTAGGAGAACTTGCAGGCAATAAAAAAAAAAAAAAAATCAGTTCAAAAGCAGTTTGGCGTTTGGCTCCATTTCCAACACAGACAGCTTGCAGATACAGATAAAGATTTGATATATCATTGTCACCACGTAATGATTTTGTCGCTAGTCCAAAAGTAAGATCGTCAACACACCCAGATCATTTTCTTGGATTCTCATTACAGTTTTACCATGTTGCCGTTAACAAGCGTTTTACAGAAATAATATTGAAGTACTCAAAGACGAACTTGGAAACGTTCACTAGATTTTATCGGCAGCCCGTTGAAGTGGATATAACATGCTGCCGGAAGATTTACTGAAAAACAAAATGTAGAATTTAACTTTTATTTCCATGCAACTTTGTTCAAATATTATTCAGTCTGTAGGAGATCAAGAATATGATATAAACAGAGTGAAATTAAATTGTAGCAACAAACTACATTTCATTTGTATTTTAAAAGTTAGACACAATTCAGAGAGACATGTCGCACACATTCTGACACACACAGTGCACAGTCCGAATAACCCTTTTGCCTATATTGTAGGCAGTGGCGGAGCTAATGTAGAGAGGGCCCTGATGGAAGCATGGTTAAAAGGTAGATCCACATCTGTCAATGATTTACCAGCTGGGGATCTACCATTTGCCCTTCCTTGCAGAGCTGTATTTGTGTTTAGTGTTTTAATGTAACCATGTTTTGTGTGTGTTTGTGTCTATGTATGCCTTTGTATGTAGTGTTTGAATTTAAATGCAGTTGTATGTTTGTATGTACTGTTGCTATATGAAAGCAGAGGTGTACTTGTGTGTAGTGTTTGTGTTTGAATGTGTTAGTATTAGTATATAGAGTTGGCAAATGCACATACACTGAAACCCACACAGATACACACACACACTGACACATACACACACACACACAAATACATACACTGATACACACACACTGTCACTTACACACACACAGATAAACACTGACAAATACACATAGATACATACACACTGACACATACAGATGTACACATATACACTAACATATGCACACATATATACACACACACACTGGCACTTACACACACAGATATAAACACTGACAAATACACATAGATACATACACACACTGACACATACAGATGCACACATATACACTAACATATGCACACATACACACACACACACACATATAACACATTAAAATACTGATGAATACAGATGTAGACACAGACAGATGGCACATAAAGGCACACAGATACATACACAGATAATACATGTACACACACAGATACACAGATAATACATGTACACACACAGATACATACACAGATAATACATAAACACACACAGATAGATACACAGATAATACACGTACACAAACAGATACATACACAGATAATACATGTACACACACAGATCACAGTTTACAAGTTTTTAGCCACCTCCCTGCTTCCAATGCTGTTTTGGTGCAGTAAAGTGGCTTCCGTGGGATCCAGTGTCATCTGGCTGAGTCTGATGGGAGTTTAGTCCTGGCTCTCACTATTCTCTGGTTCTTTGCTCTCTCCCACTCCCGTGAAGTTAGTTGGGAAACTGGGAGGAAGTGACTTGTACTCACTTCCTTCCAGCACTGAGATAGAGCAGAGCAGGGACGGAGACAGAGCACAGGGAGATTGACTGTTTATGACTTTATTATTTTTTTACTCCAAACTAAATCGCGGTGAATTGTTAACCAAATTGCAAATTCTTGGGTAAAGCAGCCAGGATGAAGAAATAAATGAAGAGAATTTGTTTGAACAGCACTTCTCGTCTCACTTCTGAAATTCAATGTTTAGTGAAAAAAATCAATTTGTCGCAAAATACATGTCTTCATTCTACCAGCTCCAAAATACCAGGCCCAATATTCCTTGATGGTACGGGTGTAATATCACCAGATGGAGGGGTCTGATGCTGGTGTAATAAAAGTATCATTAGTCTGAGGAGGTCGGGAGTAGGATAGAGTAAAGCTTGTGGTGGGAATAAAAAGTAAGACCGTATTTTGTAATTAGTTAATATTTAGTGTGGCAGATTTCCGTGAGCTGCTGAAATATTATACATTTTAAATTTTTTTGTTAGTATTTTTTTGTCACAGCCTCACTTTGCGCTATACTGCGCAATAAAGCAAAGCTCCAAGCACCATAACCACTACAGCATGTTCTAGTGGTTCCCCCATTATAAGTAGTCAAACCACCTTAGAACAGTTTGACTTCTTATCACAGCTACCCAACTCCACTACAGCTGACAGAAAGCAAAAAGCTCTAGCTTAGCATTGCATTGCACGTTTGAGAAAGCCCCAAGAGGAGGTGCGAAATGCGTTACGGACCAAGACCCAGGAAGTGATTGAACTGTAGACATTGGCATAAATAAATAAAATTTACTTACCTGAAATCCTGGTCGCAAATGCGACCAAGTTACGTAGAAACATAGAATGTGACGGCAGATAAGAACCATTCGGCCCATCTAGTCTGCCCAATTTTCTAAATACTTTCATTAGTCCCTAGCCTTATCTTATAGTTAGGATAGCCTTATGCCTATCCCACGTATGCTTAAACTCCTACTGTGTTAACCTCTACCACTTCAGCTGGAAGGCTATTCCATGCATCCACTACCCTCTCAGTAAAGTAATACTTCCTGATATTCTTTTTAAACCTTTGTCTCTCTAATTTAAGACTATGTCCTCTTGTTGTGGTACTTTTTCTTCTTTTAAATATAGTCTCCTCCTTTCCTGTGTTGATTCCCTTTGCAAGTATATTCACATGTTATACTGCTGGTTGTGTGCATCACTACACCAAGATTTTATGTTGGTTGTTGCAATTGTCAAAACCTAACTTATAATTTATAATATATTGTATATAAATTTTAGCCATTTTATTTATATTCGTGTACACTGTGTAGTTATTGACTGGGAGCATTAACTGATTGATATCAGATATTGAGCTAAACCAGGCTAGGCTCAGACATCGAACTTCCAGCTCTCTGCAGGCTGTAGTAGAGGCAGGGACCAGCGCCCAGCTGATCCCAGGTAAGAAATCAAATTGTTCTAAAATAGTGGTGATTATGGTGCTTTGAATGATCCTTTAAAGAGCTTATTCATTAAACGCCAGACTGTGGAGACTGAAATCCATTCAGGATAAACTAAGGCAAATTGTGACCATAGCTAGGTTATTTAATTTTTCTGGGTTAGCTATATTTGTCCAAATTTTACGTTCAGCTCTCAGTTCACCACAATTCTGAGTTTAGTGAACAAAATGTTTTAATTGCAGTCACCGGTTTTTGCAGCTCTCCCCCCAGCGATACATTGGGAATGAGGTATAAGCATGCAGGGCTGCTATCGGCACAAGTCACTCACAGCAGGATTGCACATGATTTGAACATGCAATCTGAGCCATTACAAGAACATTTTGTCGATTCCTGTAGAGGTCAGCCATGGGTTTGGGGATATAGAAAGGAGCTGGTTTTCTGACCATCCTCAAACTTAGACTGAAGATGCGTCTCGGAGTGCAACATAAGACGCAGAGAAGTCATTAAAGTGAGCTTTCTGAATACATTCTCTGCAGAGACACCCATCCTTGCCACCTCACTGATTGTGTGGAATGTAACCAGAGCAATCCTGTCTCTCAGATACATCCTGAGGACCTGTTTCTCTTGCTTTGGATATTTAAGTTGTCTTGTGCAAGATTGTGTTTTATCATACAGAAACGTAATGCTATGCAAGCTAAAGATTCAGTATAGCCTGCAGGACTGTCATGGGGCCCTCTAGTGGACAAGAACAAGTAGTGTACACTATGTCTCCAGACATCAGATACTGTAATTCGCATGTATCTTTACAATGGATGAGGCACATCCTTTGCCCTTTCTAGAATCCTTTTCATTCTTATAGGGACACTGTAGACCCCTAAATCACTTTAACTTGCTGAAAAGCTATATGCCTGAAGAGTGTGTCCTATTTTTTTCATTTTGGAAATAGTGTAGATTTCAATAGACATTGACATGTTTATAAATTATATTGGTTTCACCCCCTGGCTTTTCAAGCAGACAAATGGTCCTGCTACTTCCTGGTTTGAACAGCTTATTTACACTGAACTGGAGAGACAGCAATTGCCCAGCGCAGTTGTCCCCAACCCAGTACTCATGGTCCACCAACAGTCCAAGTTTTTTCAGTATCTCCATTTGACCACAAAAAGGAGATACATAAATCCTGGACTGTTGGTGGGCCATGAGGACTAGTTTGGGAACTACTGGCCCAGAGCACCTACCTTGCAAAGACTTCTCATTGAGCTGCATTGAGAAGTCTGTGATTGGACAGCCACAGAAGGTCTGAGCGGGGTTAGAAGGATAGGGCTTGGCAAAGGCTGCCGATAAGAGATCTGCAGGTTTTGCAAGCTGGATTTATATACCTCCAATTAAACAATGCACAATTAAATGCCTGCAAGTTTGTATTTGGGGTATATCTACTAAGCAGTGATTTTGATCTATTTTGTTTTTGGGCAGTAGAGTTTCCCTTTAATCCACTATTCATCATCGTTGGTACAGCTATTTTTGGTCCGGATTTTTTATATATTTACTCAGACTCAGTCCCACCCAGCCGGTCTCTACAGTTGGAGCCCAATCCTGCCTTAATGGTTACAAGTCTCCAATAATTAATATCCTTCTACTAGTTGATGTGTGTGTTGTCTGCACACAGTCTGGTTCACCTGGGGTTACTGGCGATTCTATTTGTAGCTACTTTATAACTTGTGATCAAAGACTGCATTGCCGAGCGGTAGGTTATACCATTTACCCAGGCGATACTGAAACTTGTATTCTGGCACTAAATAAATGCTGCACTTTATACAATATCTGCTCTTCTCTTTCTTCCTAGAGTTACTGTCAGGTTTTCATTTCTAAGACTCGGAGAGAAAAATACTTTCATTTTCATCCACTTGGATTCGATTCTCTTTTTAGTTGGTTTTATATCGGCACTTTGATCTGAAAAATACTCACTCTAATTCTGTTTCCAGCTCTTTCATGTTCAGACTTTGATTTAAAGTGGATTTAATTTCATTGTATTCTCCCTTTTTATGATTGTTTCTTATATATTTATATAGTCTGCGTTTTTTGTTCAATTCCTCAATTAAATAGAAAGTGTTAAATTGAAATTGTTTTGTGTTATGTTGCGTATTAGTTGCAGTAAATAAAATCAATGGATAAATGTGTTTCAAACACTAAGCATAACTCTATATAAAATTAATTTCCCTTTGTCAGTTGATCGGGGTTACATGCTCAACCGTTTACAATAATGAATGCTGAAATCTCCGATTGTTATGTAAATCTATTCACATTTCCCATAATTCCCTCTGTTCTTAAATGTCATGTTGGTTCGACTTTGGCTTCGCTAAGTCTCATTTCTTCAGGAATGTGTAGAAATTTTAATCATGGAAATGTTAGCTGATTTCCATTTGAAATCTTTAAGTGCGCATGCTGTTAACTGTCAGACAACTTATATCCACAGCCATGTTAGTGTGATGTCGTTTAAAAAAATATATAAAATGAATCAGACATTAACGCCTGTGAACGGATGACGTGATGAGCAATTGTTTTGGGTCTATAAGTGATGTGTTTTGTGTTAGAATGCAGTGACCATAAGTACTGCAGATGTGATTGATACAAAGTCACAAATAACCAAAATGTTGCAGATTACTGAATAGTTTCACTCACTATGGAACGAAATCCTGACATTGTGCATTCTGCACCTGCACTGTTAGCACATCTCAACAAATAGAAAAAAAAAATGAACACATGCAGAGCCACTCAAAGACTCATTTTGACGTGAGGCAACTAAAAAAAGAAACAGGTGGCGTGATAATCAGCAACCAAATACTTGTATTATTAAAAGAAAAAAAAACTCGGCAATATAAAACGTCAAATGTTTTCCTATAAAACTTTCAATGTTTTTTATAATTATTATGCAATGTAAATGTAATATTATTTATTCTTCTAAAGGTATAATATGTGCCTCCCCAAATGACTTTAATGTAACAAGGCGAATAGTTAAATATATGTATTTTTATTTATATTTTCCGCTAATTTTATTCCGCTGAGCATTTCAAAAAGCAGCAGTGATTGAAGTCATTCCCAATTATCCACACTTCACAAATCACTTTAATATTTATGATCAATCTGTTAAGTGATTAGACACTTTTACTAAACTTTTGATATGGTAAAAAAGACACAGGGGTTTATATACTAAACATTGAATTCTAAGTTCACTCTAGTGAACTTAAATCCCACATGTAAACATTAGCCTAAACTAGTCACTATACACGAGTTTTGCAAATCAACTATTTTTGCCTGCATTACTACTAACTTAAGTTTAGTAAATATTCCCCTTAGGTATATTGGGTGATTTAAAAAAAAAAAAAATTTAATGTAACTTGGTTAACCCTTTAGCTACCAAATAATCTTTATCTTGAATGTATTTAAAAGATGGGAAGCATAGCTTTCATGTAAATGTATAATAAACCAGCAAATTCATTTAAAGAGTTCTGTTCAGAGATAAATAATATGTAAAATTATGCAAATTTACATCATTATAAATGTTATGCATTTGTTCACCCTGAGAGATATTGGAGCATTGGCTTTATGTGTGCATCTCAGCCTGTACTCTCTTCTCCCACATTATCACAGGGACCGAGTCTGCAGAAACAGAGCAGGATTAACAATAAGCAGATTCTGAACAGTTGCCATGGGCCCCTGGGTTAGACAGTGGCCCCGAAAACCATCAATTTGCTTGGCCCCAATAATCATGCCTATGTGAAAAATTAGGAGACCCAAACTAGTTCATTATTTAGTGCCCCGTGGGCTCTAAATTATGCTCTTGGCCAGGTCTGCATGGTTTACATATTGCATTAAAGTGCTTTGGCTATTTATGCAAAGTTAATCATAGCTTTATTAGCTATGATATATTGGATTATATTGGATAAAGTTTTAAGGAACTCTCCAAACAGAGCACTTCAGCTTGATGACTTTTAAAAAAAAAAAATGTTTAAAGTGCTGATTCCTATAGAACTCCTCCCTGGCTGTCACTCAGAAACTCGACAGAGCTAATGGAACCAACAGGGAGAGAGCCTCAGGGAAGCCTGGGAGAATCCTCTGACTAGTCATTCAACTGGCACCGGTAGTGGTGTATTTATGTTTTGTGCTGCCCAGACAGGACGGTGCTCGGACACCACCCCCTAATTTAATTTTTCCCCACCCCTCCCTGTCAAGGCCACACTTTGACTGGAAGACACACACACTCACTGACAGACGCACACTCACTGACAGACACACACTCTTATATACACTGACAAACAATGACATACACACACTCACTGATTTGACACACTGATAGACAGACATACACTTACTCGGACACACACTCACTGAGAGACACACACATTCACTGAAACACACACACATTCACTAGCACACATTCACTAACACAGACATTCACTGACACTCACATTCACTCACATTCACTAGCACACATTCACTAACACAGACATTCACTGACACTCACATTTCCCCACATTCACAATTATTATTATTATTATTAATTTATTTTTATTTTTTTATGTAAATCCACCCAGCCTCCCTATATTTGGGATAACTGGGTGGATTTCTCACCTGGGGTCCAGTGGGGCTGCTGGCCAGGGAGGTGGCTGGTTGTGCAGGCAGGTGAGCGGCGAGGGAGCACTTTCCCCTGAGCTCTCTGCTCAGCTCCCTAGCATGCCGCAGAGTGATGCCGGGAGCTGGAATATGACGCCCAGGAAACCACTGCCCGCCTGCCTTGGGGGAGCCCAAAGGTGGCCAGCCGGCCAGCTCTTGGGGTCCCATAAAACTAGACAAACAAGGTATTTTTGTGTTTTTTTGCCGCCCCCTGGAAATTGCCGCCGAAGTCAAATGCCTTGTTTGCCTCGTTGTAGATACATCCCTGGGCACAGGCTGAAAGTATGTGCCTGGGAAAGAGGGAATGGCTTGGTAAGGCTGCAGACAGCAGGTCTGTAGCTTTTGAAATCAGTTTTTTTTTTCATATACCAACAAAGAAGACATGCAGGAAAAAATATATGCATGTTTTCTTTGGCAGTATATCTATTAAATTGTTAAGAAATAAAAAAAATCAATGTAGTATTGATTTACATTTATCCTATTAACATTATTACTATTAAAGGGACGCTATAGGCACCCAGACAACTTCAGTTCATTAAAGTGGTTTGGGCGCAGTGTTCCTTTCTCCCTTAGTCCTGCAAGGTAAAACATTGCAGTTTTTGAGAAACTACAATGTAACAGACCGTTTCTCTCACAAGAGGATAAAAACCGTTTAGGCGATAATCCCCTTTCCCATAGACCAGCAGCTACTGCAAGCACCAAACTCCCGAACTGCAAACTGTACGAATTCACCAACTCCCGAACTGGAAACACACGAACACTGGAATCAGCCGAACAGGAAAAGCATACAATCCGCTTACACTCCTGGCAGTCAGCATACAATCCAATTCCCCCCAAAAACGAGACGACACATCGGTTTGAGGGTCAAGCAGAATCTCCCTGTACTGTCACATACAGTCTCTTTTATTCCCAATCCACAAACATAGTACAGCCCACAGGGCGTTACAAAACAACCAATCAATCCGTACAATACACCCAGACACTCCCACACAAAATCCTCCCCTCTGCAGGTGATATGATTACTGAACACAATGGGTAATCTCATTATCACCGGCAGAGGAATACAGTTTTTACACAATATTTATAACTTCTAAAATATACATGTCACAAACATAAAACATACATTTTCATAATCAATCCATTCAGGGGAACAACATATTAAAAAATGGCACGAATCAGACCAGGGGTTCAAAAGTTAAGGGAAAGTCCTTTGTGACTAAATGAAGCATGGCTTTCTGGCCCAAACCTGTTTCAGAGTCTTCTATCCTGGAGAGTAATTCAATTATCTCCCAGGACAGACACAAGACTCCATTAAGCACATGGTTGCAAAAAGACACAAAACACTTTAAAATACATAAAGTCACATTTACACATAACACACAGACATTTCACATATCCCCAGATAGCTGGGATCTGAGTGCACATTATTAGATGAATGGCACTCAGATCACACAAATAAGCCTTTCTGCAGGGGAAATAAACGGTTTAACCTGCAAGGCCATAGTCCAAAGGGAGCAGGCGAGCAACCA